CACATTTACTTCAGATCCAAAATCTCTTCTAAATATGAACTCTACAAGTTGCATATCATTATCTGTATTATCTAAATTGGGTATAATCCATCTTGGGACAAAATTATCTGCAGGTCTGTGAAAACTGAAACAAGTCATCTTCTAAAGTACAATATCAGGAGAGACAAAGGGTAAACATTCTCATTTCAGGGAGAAATTAGAAGGAAACGAAGGGATCACGGTTCCTAAGCAAGTTTGAACCTAGCAGGGAAAATTTCATTAAGTTTCAAGGCCTGAAAATAATGACTGCATACTCTGTCATCTGGCCCCTTGGTGATGGTCCTGTCCTCTTGGCCCTCAATCTCTTCTGTGCTCTTGGGAGTTCTTTGTTGAAGGATAGCATTCCCAGCCCAGTGGTTAAGCTCTGTTCGTTTGTGCCTTTGCTATGTGTGTTAACACCTATGCATGTAGATATATGTTTAAAATACCCTTTTTAGTTGCTGTGAGGTCTTGATTATTGATTATTGCAGGATGTTTCATTAGTATCTAACATGTCTTAGAGATTAAGCTATAAGCTAGAGGATAAAGTTTTTCTAAACTTGCTTAGTGGTTCTGTTTGTCTTCTAGCCACTTACCTTTCTTATTGTATAAGCTCACCAAGATCTTAAATATTCAGTAGAATAATTAGATTGTAATACTGTAGATGTGATTCTTATAGTATTAGGAGGCTTTGCCAATTTATACGTCCAGCAATGCTGATAATTGGCAGGACAAATTTACTTTTCTACTGGTGTTTTAATGGTTTTTATTATTTCCTTTATGAACATTTCCCCCATAATGCCACAATGTGGTGCTGTTGTACTTTCGCTAAATATTTACAAAATTACCTTTTCCTGTTGCTGTCAAATTTCGTATTTTGTGGCATAAATAAGATACTCTCAAAAGTGTGTGAAAATACACTCATATTGGGTACTTTTTTTAGCCATAAGTAATGAGTTATTTGATTGCTTTCTAGTGATTTTGTTAGATTGCTTTATCATATTTAGTAAAAAAAAATCAGACGGCCCCTTAGAAGTTGTAAAATGAAAACTAAGAAACCAGCAAATGAAATGATAACTCTAAATGACAATAGTCACATTTTTGTAAAGTTAATCATTTTGGATATTATTCCATTAAAATTATACCATGATATTAGCTCAAAATATATGATGTTATTTTTAAATCCAACTTAAGGTATTTCCTTCTGTTGTTATTGCTTAATATTAATTATACCAGAATCCATCTAAGAGGAAAACAGTTTATCATTCATGTATTTAAAATCAAGTTATATTAATCCTTTTTGGAAGGGATTACTTCTTCACAGTGCTTTTTTAGGATGCTGTTTACTAAGCCAGCATGTACTAGTGCTATTGGTGCACTGAACAAGTTTTTATTCAATAGCTTCTAGTTATCCTTAGAATACCATCAGATCATGAAAAGGATCCGTGATCCAAAAAGAGTATCCTATGTGATGAGATTCTTAAGATCACAGTTTAATATTTTAGTGCTTGAAAATAAATGAGAATCTTTGTCTTGATCTAAAATATCACATACTGGTATCATTTTAGGATCATCAAAAATATATCCTGGCTAAACAAGAGGAAACTATTTTGAAAACTTTTAAAAATTAGTGCGTATTAATTATACTAATAGGCTTCATTGTGGCATTTTTATAACATGTACATAACCTAATTTGATCATATCCAGTTCATCCTCCCTTACCCTCCTCCCCCTTACCCTGATTATTTTCTCCTTCTCTAATAGTCTTTCTTGAAAACTGTTTTGAGTCTTTTGAAGTAGGGGTTGGGAAGAGTGGGAATCACAAACAATTTTACTATTTTCTTTTTTTTTTTTTAATTTTACTATTTTCTATCCTAGAGGTATGGGGAAAGTATTTACTATACGAGAAAATATATATACTTTGATATTCTTAGAGTCTAGTACTATGGTGTTTTTAGAGCATGATCATAATGGAATTCTAATTGTTTAATTCTCATGGGATCAATTAATGATTAGATACCACTAATGCATTAATATAGGGATTCTAGGTATTTTTTCCAGGCAGATTTCTCCCCTTAAGAAATGTCCATAGACAGTACTATAGTAGCTGTTATTAGTCAACTGACTGGGAATGTCAAATTTTGGAGTTAAGTATTTTAGAAATCAAAGTTGGAGTAGATGAATGTTTTAACTGAGTCTGCAGAGGGACAACTTTAAAAACTTCTGGAAAATAATGTGGACATGAACTAAGGATAGGGCAGTAGAACATTTATGAAGAAACTTACAGAAAGCCAGGTAGTATATTGTCTTTGGAAAACTGAAGCAAAAGATATATTTCAGATTTGAAAATGAGCTGATTTCATAGTAACATCTGTAAAAGAAAAGATATTAAAATTGTTATATTTGAAGAAATCATTAAGAAACATTTTGAAGACCAGTTATTTTGAAGGAAATAATTTTGTATTAATTTCCAGTCCCAGTGATAACTTAGAATAAAAGAACAATGTTCAGCTTTTTTCCAGTTACCAACAACTTACAATAAGAAGGATTCTGTATTTCCTTCTGTAATATAGCAAGGTAAAAATTTAAATCTCTGAATAATATAGCTCTATTTTAGGTGTGTTTGTTGTAGATTCCTCAGAAATACTCTTATAATAAGGCATTTCCTTTTAGTTATTTAGAATTTATGACAGATTTGGCTGTTACATTTTGTCAGATTTTTGGAACATCTTTTGGTACAACCATATTGTCTTTCTGCTTAATTGTTTAATAATCATTTCACTGATTTCTGTTAAACTGCTGGATTAGTCAGCTTTCTCATTGCTGGGATAAAATACCTGACACCCACACCTCAAAGGAGGAGAGGTTTAATTGGTTCGTGGTTTAGGCTACAGCAGTGATGGTGAACCTTTTAGAGACCCAGTGCCCAAACTGCAGCCCAGAACCCACATATTTGTTGCAAAGTGTAAACACTGCAATTAAACCTGAATACTGAGGCTTTAGTTTAGATAAAAACAACTGTTATCTAATGCTCAGCTGCTGGGGTGACTTGGCTTGCATGCTGATAGAAAGGGCTCTGTGTGCTTGCTGCAGCACACGTGCTGTAGGTTCACCACTACTGGTCTGTAGTCACCTGGCTCCAGGGCAGATAGGGTATGGTGGAGGAAAGCAGTGGCAGCCAGAAAGAGGAGCCTAGGGGAAAACAGTTCTGACATTGCTGAAAAACCCAAGTCCAAAGCTCCCTCTGAGACTCAAGGAAAATTCTTATCAGCATACCCCTATAAAAATCAGAAAGAAAGTTAAATACCTCTAATATACAGCGCCACAAGCTAAACATTTCCATTCCAAAAGTGAGGAACAGGAAGATAGAAAAGAATCAGACCTAAGGAATACTGAAAACTTGCAGGGGAAACATTTAACTCCTGGGATAGGTGGTAGTGAGCTGTGAGTTCCATAAAGCTTGGTCAGCTCTGTCTGTACAGCATAGCCAGTGGTAGCCCACATGGTCTCCTTTGGGCTGATTCTGCTTGCTGCCTGCTTGTTTTTGTTTGTCCAGCAGATGATCCATGTTCCTGGCATCTCCAAATTTTGGAATCTCCACTGCAATTTTGGCCTCACTCTCATAGCTTCACACACTGCCCTCTATGGGATACACTGTGTGGCTACTCAGGCCTACTTCTGAAATCTGGGTGGAAAGCACCATGATTCCATAGCTCTTTCATTTTACATGCCTGAAAAATCACCACCATGTATATGATACCAGGTCTGCCGCTGACTTGAGCAGTGGACCACCTCAGTGGGCTGAGGTGGCCTCTGACTGCATAGATGGCTTGTCTCCACCTAGGTGACCCTAAAAGAGCAGGGCACTCTGTGATCTCTCAAAGTAAAGTCTTTTTAAAGGAGTTTATCCTTTTATACCTTTGATCCTGCATAGCTCAGTCTAGCTAATTGTTGAGATGCCTTTAAGCCATCTTTTCTATTGTCCTGATGCAAAGTACTTGGCTTCTTTTTACTTTCTGGAATCATGCTCCTCTTTCCCCAACTTTCCAGGCACTTAACGTTCTGATGAAATTGCAGACTTTTTACGTCTGCCTTTTCCTTTTGATTCTCATCATAGATCTGACTAAGAGCAAATAGCAGTACTCATGCCTCAGCCTGAACATTGGTGTGCCTTGAAATTTCTCCTGCTAGATTAATTAATCCCACTGTCTTTAAATTCATCCTCACACAAAGTTTTAGGACATGGACAGAATATAGACTTAACTTTTTGCTGCAGTGTAACACACATGTGGCGTAGTCCAATTGCTGGTGGAGCCTTTGTTCCTAGATGAAAACTCCTGAGCCTGGCCTATTTCCTGTCTGCATTTCCATCAGCATTCTGGTCTTCTAAGTTTCAACTAGAATATCCACTGGGCTCTGGTTAGAGCATTCTGTGGGTTCTTTAGCCCACAAACCAATTCCAAAGGTTTCTGACTCACATAGTCAGATATAGTCACAGCAACTACCACACTCCCAGTCTCCCTGTAATATAGCAAAGTAAAAATTAAAACCTTAGAATATCACAGCTCTGCTTCAGGGATATTCGTTGTCTATTTCTGAGACATATTCTGTCTTACAATAGACATTTCTTTTTAGTTATTTAGAATTTATAACAGATTTGGCTGCTAAATTTTAACAGATTTTTGGAATATCTTTCTGTACAACTATATTGCTTAATTATTTAATAATTTACTTATTTCTGCTTAATAATTCATCATTTCACTGATTTCTGTTAAATTGTTCTTATATTTCTAGGCTAATCCATGTTTATGATATGTTCTCTTGCTTTCCACATCATTTAATTTGGTCATATTTTGTTTAGGATTATTATAATCGTATGAGTTGGCCTATACCTTTCTTTTTTGTGTTGTCTTTAACAGTTTCAGTTAATAGAACAGCTATTTTTTTTTAATAGAGCTATTTTTAACTTTTTCACTTGACAGGTCGTGGTTCAATTCCAGAATTTTTTCATATTATGAAAAGAAAGTTTACCAACAAAGAATGGGAAACCATCAGAAGCTTTAAGGATGAGTGGACTCAACTGGATATGTTTTATAGGAATTGGGTAAGATTTCTTTCTAATTTTGAAAGTAAAAGTCTATGATTCCATTATCTTTACTAACATTAAGAGTAAAATAATATTTTTACTAAAAATAAGTACTTCCTTAGTAGTACCATACAGTGTAATTACATTTATTTTGAGAAAATTTAACATATTTAATCCTCAATTAATGATCTTAAAGATAGAAGACATTTACTTATCACCAGTTAAAATGTTTTCTGTCTTAAGTTCATTCACACAGCCTTATATAATATTTACTATATGCCACAGGATATCACTTTCAACTTTTCATAAGGTAGTTAATTTAATTCTCATAACAGCCCATTGAGGATGGTGATGTAGTTAGCCCAGTTTATGTATTAGGGAGTGAAGGCACAGAAAGTGTAAATGATTTGCTTTAAGGTCACATGGGTGCTTTGTTTCTGTGATACTATGTGGATTAAAAAAAAAGCTTAATAGTTGTAAAAGTATAAAGTTAGGGATCTGGATGTAGTAGCCCTATAGATTTTGTAAAAAGTTTTATCTGCTGAACAATCTAAGAGAAAAATATCTGCCTGTATCATAGGCACTGAAAGAAAGCTTCATTAAAGCCATTGGTGTTGGACTGGGATTTGAATTGCAACGGCTTGAATTTGATATTTCTCCATTAAACTTGGAAATAGGCCAGGTTTATAAAGAAACACGTTTGTACCTGGATGGGGAAGAAGAAAAAGAATGGGCATTTGAGGTAAGAAATTTATCAGACTTGTTATAATTAAGAATTTCCGTATTTTGTGCCTGTGTTTAAGGTTAATTTGTGGTGGCTAATTGTTGAAATTAGACACAAGTGTTCAGAGCACAGTTTTTGTGCTCTGAAGATGAAGTCAGGGATACTATGAGAGTGCATAACATGTAAGCTGATAGTTGGAAGATGAGACATTGTGAATTAAGCAGAATGGGACAAGAATAGAGGCCCTGAAATTGGAAGAGATTCATGTGTGAGCAGCCAAATATAGTTACTTTGTATGGATCCGAATGAAGGGATTTGAGAGAGATCTTAAACTAGTTTAGTAGACCACAGGAGACGATATTAGTCATGTTTGAGTTTTGGCCTCTCTTGTTTATTTGGTTTCTGCCATTAGCAGTTCTTGGTTGGTAGTGAAAAACCCAACACAGGCTCAGTAAGCCAAAAACACATTATTCCAGGCCACTAGAATGATTTAGTAATTAGACCTCAGAACTAGCCAGAATTAAGTAATGAAGAACTTAGAGCTTTTTATCTTTTGCCGTTTTGTATGTTTTGGCTCTATTTTTTTCTCATCTGTGTTTGTCATTCTACATAGCTTCTCTGGTCTGCATTGCATGAAATTAGCTGCCTACACTACTTAATTGTTTAAAGACTTAAAAGAGACTGGTGAGCTCAACCTCTGTTACAAGCTCAAAATCCCTATAGAAGGACTGCCTGTCCTAACTTGGGTTGCTAGCCAAGGAAGTGGTCTACTATAATTCTTCCTGCTCATGTTAAGTGTGCAGAGCCCAGGATAGTAATGGGATATATTGTAATATGGTTGCTCCTCCTACAGCAACACTTGAATTGATGTGCAAAGAAAGACAGTTCCCCAGAGTTAGCAGTGAATAGTAAAACAGGAGGTGTTCACTACTTTTCTCACCTGTCTTTTCCTAACACATATTAAGTAGGGAGTGGTAAAATCAAATTTGTGTTTTAAGAAGACCAGGTCCTGTTTGTGATGGTATGTGGAAGTTAAGGCAGTTAGATATCAAAGATAGGAAGAATACTCTGGTTTATTCTACTGTCTATTGAGATATAAAGTTGTAGAAAACAAATGGAATGTTAAGTTTGGGGTGCCATTGAAACACCTGGTCTTGGCTTGTAACAATGTAAACATAAATTGAGCAGGGATTCTTGGCATTTTAGCTGACAACTGGTTGTTGCCCACAGTTGTCTCTGATTCTTGCCATACATACAGCAACTACAGAATTGCTAACCTGTGTATTTTCCCAAAAGTAATTGTGGTGAAAACATCTCTGTATAATGTTCATTTTACTGGTATATTCAGTGTAAATAGTGAGGAAGATCCTATAGCAAAAGATATTTTGTTTATAATATTGTAATAAATTATTGTGATCTTATTTTTTTTTTTTAGTTTAAGAGAAAATATCTATCTTTTGCTTTGGGGCATGATAGGAAGTGACAGTCTCCGTATCTGTATCTCATATTGTTATCTCATAATGCATCCATTAACATTCTTAGTGTATGGTTATCATATATACTGTGTAATACCATGTTAGGGATAATTTTTATTTATTAAGATATTCTATACATATAAGAACCATGTCACATACTAAATTTCTAAAAAAATTTAGATATTTTTAAATCTTTGTGGTTTATCCAATTGTTTAAAAAAAAACAAAATGGTTTTTTACCAGCTTATTTTTTGATAACTTTTAACCTATTAAAATTTTCTGATTGTTAGTCTTACTTTTTTTGCTCTGTAACTCTTCACGTCTTAAATTTATTCTTGAATGTTGTTTTTTGCTAATTTGGATACCTTAAGGTGTGAAAATATGAAAAGGGTAAAAGGATAAAAGGTCCTTAATGACTATTTCTGATTATAGTTTTATATTCAACTGATGGGGTAATGGAAGAATGCCTTGGTTAGGTGGCTTTTAAGTGAAAATTTTGTTTAGTTTTTAATAGTTGTTTGTAGTTTTGCGTTGTGTCTGCTTCAATCACTATTAATTTTTCAACCCTCTTCACTTTGTGTTGTTTGTAGGGGAAATAGGAAATTACATATTTGTTAACTGTTACCTATAAATTTCTGCCATGACTTTTCTATAGGCTCCACAATGCAGTTAGCTAAATGTATACAAGCCAGAATTGCACTCTCATTTTTTAATGTACATTTAATATGTACAAAATTAGTATCACCAGTGAGGAGCAGATTGCTATCTGTGTGTCTATATAATGTTCTTGTTGAAAGTGCATAGCCCAAATCTATTCATTAAGAAACGTCGAACAAATTGAAAATGAGCATTGTTATATTAATAACATTGGACAGGGTTTGTATTTTGAAATGTTAGGACAGATACAACAGCTGAATGCAGTCAATTCTTAATCTTGTTTGCCTATCTTGTTACTTGGCACTGCAGGAGAAAGAAAGAGTGTGTGTTTGTGTGTATATATTTGTGTGTGTGTGTGTGGATAAAGAAAAAATAATATTTAAAAATGTAAATAAAATTGTACATTTATTTATTAATCTATTTCCTTACCTTTTATTTTTCAGGAAAGCAAAATAGATGAGCACCATTTTGTTGCAGTAGCTCTTAGGAAACCTGATGGATCTAGACATAAGGATGTAAGATTTGTCTATTTTCTAAAAAGTATAAATCAGTGTTGTTTATCCTTTATTGATGAAAATACACACCTTATATCAGAATAAAGATGTGTTTATTTTGTAAGATTATAGATTTATAAATATTTTTCATTAGCAAATCTTTAAGACTGTTTAGGCTTACCAAATCTTTTACAGATCATGTTACCTACTTTGTATTGAAATGCACTTCAGTATTACAAAGAAAAATGTTGGCAATACTGTCATAGTGCTTATATTTCCAATAGAAATTCACTATAATTGGCTTGTAGTGGTGTTCCAAGCATGCCTTTAATCCCAGCACTCTGGGAGCCTGAGGCAGAAAGGTCGCAAGTTCAAGCACAGCCTGGGTGACTTAGCAAGATCTTGTCTCAAAATTTAAATTAAAAAAGGAAACTAGGGATGTAGCCCAGTGAGAAGGCACTGGGTTCAATTAAAAAAACAGTTCACTATGATCACTATCTTAATCATCTCAACAGGAATTTATTCCTTAGGAAACTGGGACTGTGTTGAATATGAAAGGTACTTAGTTGAATATTAGGGAGTAATGGATTGCATATTGAACCTCTTCCCTTTTTAAAAGTAATATCCTAAATTATTCCTAAAATTATAACATCAAATAGATGAGAGGTTGTACATTGTGGCATAACATCAGTCTCAGTTGGAACTTTTTCTTTCACAATCTGTTTATAGGTCTTATGGTGTTATCTAATAAGTGAGGGAAGAAAAAACTTAGGAGCAAAGATCACAGCCTACATATACTTATGTTTTTGCAGACATAATTTCTTTAAAGAATACTGGTAATGTTATAAACAAAACTAGGCATGGCCGGGGATTTAGCTCAGTTGGCACTGTGCCTGCTTCACAAGCACAAGGTCCTGAGTTTGATCCCTGGTACCAAAAAAACCAAAAAACAATATGCACACCATTTTTAGGGAATCCACATGAGGGAATGTGGCATGGTTAATACATGTACATCATTATGTTAGAAAAATAGTGCAGGCCATAGACCGGGCCTTTAATACATTAATCGAAGAATTAAAATTCTTCATAGATTATCATCCTTAAAAAGAGATATCATGTTAAAATTGATACCAGTTATTGGAAGACATTCTGACCCAGGTTACTTGGCCTCATGTTCTCAAGAAAGCGTTATACTCTTTGCAAATGGCTTTTCTGCAACTTTGTAGTTCTTGAGACATTTGCATATTTAGTACTCTATTTGCTTTTCATTTCCCTGTATAGAGCCTACTTCAGCAGCACATAGTAGGAATACTAGGTTACAGATCCATTTAACCTGTGTTTAAGCTTTGGCAAATTGTTTGATTTTTCTTAAGCCTCAGTTTCTCCATCTATACAATTGAAATAACAGCTTATGTCACAATGCGGCTGTGAGACATACATCATATAAAATAAGTGTTGGACTTTGTTAGAATACTATATAAAACCCAAGTAGTATTTATGCAGATTGAGTAGTCCTTATCAGAAATGCTTGAGACCAGAGCATTTTGTGTTTTTTTGTGTTTTGGAGTATTTACCTGTACATAATGAAGTATCTTGGGGATAGTACCCATGTCTAAACAGTAAATGCCATTAGTGTTTCTTACATATGTACATACATAATATTTTTACACTTATACTCTGAAGGTAATTTATACAATATTTTTAGTGTACTGTGTTTTTACCAACTTCTCACTTGAGGTCAGGTGTGGCATCATGTTGCTGTTCAGAAAGTTCCAGATTTTGGAGCATTTCTGATTTTAGATTTTCAAGTTAGAGATACTCAACCTGTACTAGAACGTATAGATTATGGAAGACCTACACTGGGTTGAGTTCTTGAACAATAGCTATATTTCAGAATAGAAGAATCAGTTTTAATTTCATGTTGAATTACTTCCACTGGAGGAAAGATAGCCTCTTTAACAAATGGTACTGGGAAAGCTGGCTATCCACATGCAGAAGATTCAATCTGGACTCTTATCTCTCACATTTCAATATATAATTAATATATTAATCATAATCAAAATGGATCAAAGAACTTAATTTAAAACAGAAACACAGGATGACAAAAATAGGATTACAATTTGAAGTCATAGGCAGAGTCATGGACTTTTTTAACAGAACCCCAGTTGCACAGGAAGTAGTCCCCAGAATCAACAAATGGGATCATATCAAATTAACAAGCTTCTACATAGCAAAAAAGACAACCTATAGAATGAGAAAAAGTTTGTCAGCTGTTCCTCACACAGAGGACTAATTCCTAGAATATATAAAGAACTCAAAAGTTGAACCCCTCCAAAATAAAAGACCCAGTAAAGATTGGACCAGTAAAATGAATATAGACACTTCACAGAAAAAGTACAAATGGCAATAAATACATGAAGAGAGGTTTAACATCCCTGGCCATTAGAGAAATGCAAATTAAAACAACACTGCTAGGGCCTGGGATTTAGCTCATTGGTTTTGCCGCCTGCTGTGCAAGCACAGGGACCCGAGTTTGATCCCCAGTACCCAAAAAAAAACAACAACAAAAACAACACTGATAGTCCATCTTACCCCAGAAAGAATAGCTATCATCAAGAAATCAAATAATAACAAATGTTCCATAGGGTGGAGGGGGATGGGGGAAGCAACCCTTCTACATTGTTGGTCAGAATGTAGGCTAGTACAATCATTATGAAAATCAGTATGGAGGTTCCTCAAGAGCTAAAACCAGAAATTCCACTCAACCTAATTATTCCCCTTCTAGGTATCTTCCTGAAAGAATCAAAAACATCATATACAGTGAAACATACATACCCATATCTAGCAACACAATTCATAATAGCTAAATCTTGGAAGCAGCCTATACATCCATCAACAGATGAATGGATAAAGAAAATGGGGTATTTACACACAACGGAATACAGTGCAGCTAAAACTGAGTCAATTGTAGGAAAATGGATGCATCTTGAGACTAATGTTAAATGAAAAATATCAGACACACAAACTTAAATATCATGTGGTTTCTCTTACATCAGAAACTCAAATTGTGAATAAAGAGTGAAATAAAAGTTAGATAATAGGAAGAAGGGAGATATTTCTCAAATGGGAAAGGGATCAAGAGATGAAAAGAGAGGGGAAGAAAGGGAGGGAAAGGGGATGAAAAAAGGAACAAAGAGTGTTATGTACTTGTACCAACTCCAAATAAGAAATGCAAACGTGTTGCAAATGTACTAAAAAAAAATTGTTACATCTCTGTTGTTGTTTGTGCGATTTTAAGTATATACCAGAGGTTATTGTCAAATACAAAAAGTTCGAGCCATGTTTACAATTTCATTTGTATTAGTAACACTAATGTAAAGAGTAAAAATATTCTAGAAATTTTATTGTGTTGTAATTTGGTACTATTGAAATGTAATTTTGTTGTATTGTTTTCATATAAAATTGATTATAAGATATGCAGTATAATGTAATTTATTTTTTTTCCTTTTAGGTTCCTTCCCAAGATGATTCTAAGCCATCCCAGAGGCAGTTTACTATTCTCACCTTCAATGATTTAATATCATCTGCTGTTCCCATGACACCTGAAGATCCTTCATTTTGGGACTGTTTTTACTTTACAGAAGAAATTCTAATACGAAATGGTACAAAGTCATGATATGATGCGCTAAGTAACAAAAGAAAGTGAAAACTGTTTGTAATCTTCCATATTCACTGAAAAAATAAATACCTGATAGTATCAAATTTTATTTTAAAAAGCAGTTTTTTTAAGAAGCCAAAACCTTTTACTATTAAAAAAACAAGACTTCTCTTTCGAGATAGATCACTAGAGTATGTTTCCCTCTTCCTGTCCAAACTTGGGTTGAATTAATAGAAATAGAAAGGGTGGCAGAATCTTCAACTGATAAAGGAAGATTGTAGAAAAGGTAAACATGGAAAAAGGAAATATTTAAATCCTATCTCTCGGAGATCACTACTCTTAAAACCTTGATTCTTTCCAGATCTTTTGTCTTGGCAAATGAATCCCTATTAACTTTTTTTTTTTCCAGTGGGGACCTGCTATTTTGTAATTTGTTTAGCTCCTCATGTGGTGTTGATAATTTTACCTCTTATATGAACTAGTGGTTCTAGAGTACTTTCTTGTATGACTAATATCAATTTGATCTGAGGTAACTGTTCAATTACAGTTGGCTTAAGTAACTAGGAACATTTACAATTCAGGGTGGTTGTTTTTTGAATTTTTTTTGTTTGGCCTTAGCCTCAATTTATTTATTTTGCCTTAGGCTCATTCCTCTTCCCAGTTACAAGAACAACTGCTATAACTTCCAGTTTTACATCTTAATAAAATTGCATCTACAGGACAGGAAAGGAGAGAGGCTATTTTTCCTATTTTGTTTTATTCGTGAGGAGGCCATCTCCCAGTAGCCCCTGAAACTGTCCCCTCAGTTTCTGTCTTCTGACATCTGGTCACAGAGGAAACCAGCGTCTTGACACTTTTTGCCTCTGTTAGTAGATTCTGTTGGAAAAGAAAAGGCTAAGACAAGTTGGAGAGGACAACATTGAGCTGCAGCCCACTATCTGGCATAAGGTATATTGTAATAGGCTCGTTTTCCTCTGTATTAGACATTTTGGTTGTCTGCATTTTATTACTGAAGTGGTAGTGCAGTGAATGTCCTTGTACATTTTAAGGAAAATACTTAATTACATTCTTAAGAAAGTTTTAGAAGTAGAGTAACTGATGCAAAGGGCTTAAATAAGCATTCATTTTTAAAGGTTTGGTATTACCATATTGCTCTTTAAAAAGGCTGTGCAATAAATTGTACACTTTCATTTAGGAATATATATGTGACCACTTCCACCTATATGCTCCCTGATCAAGTATTATCTTTTTTTTCCTGTATATTTAATCTTTGCTAGCATAACTGAAAAATATGACATTTTAAAAATTTGTGTTTCATTACAAGTGAGATATATCAATGTTATTATTAGCTATTTGTATTTCTTTTTTTATGAACCTTTTGCTCATCTTCATCTGTTTTTATGTTAAAAATAGCACATAAAATGTGAACATAATATATTAAGATGCCAAGATCATCATATTGATGCCAGAATCTATTGTATGGTTGTAGTGCATGTCTTCAGGGTTAGTCTTGTTATTAAATATCAAGAAGTAAAATATTTCATTGTTTCTATTACTAACACTAACAGTTATATAAAAGTAGGTACTTTGCTCAGTAAAAAATTGGAATGTTTTATATTTCTTTTATTAAGCATGCTATTATCCAAGCATAGTAAATAATGTGTCTTAAAAAGATCAAATAACATTTATAGTAGAGGAAGTATTGTTATGGCTAGCATGAATGTAATGGTGATACGAAGAATCATTTGTCTTGTCATGATAATAATAAAATGATTAACAATTATGGGATTTTTATGAGTCTGACACTGCTAGATTTTGTGTTCTTTAGATTTTTTTTTTGTCTATTACTTTTTAAACTTATACGTGATTGTTTAAAAAGTCAAATGCAGATTGTTTAAAAAGTCAAATCAATGTTTTTTTCTAAAGAAAATTACCATTACTTTGACTTTGTTATCCTATCTTCCTGTCCCCAGAGCAAGCACTCTCAACTCTTGAGTTAATATTTTTACTTATGACCATGTCTCCAGATAACATGCTTATATTGCTTTTAGTTGAGTTTTAGGAATTCTTTGATTCCTAATACAGTTTTTCTCTTTTCAGCTTTGTACATCCTCCTCTCATCCTCTCTTTTCTTCTCCATATAGTTATGTTGTAATTCAGTGTTTACATTTTTGACTGTGGTTACACTACGAATATGTGTTGAACTATTAAGGTTATGTGAACACTGATTATCACTAATTTGTTATTTTTACCTTATCTTAAGTTTTTATTTCCTTGAGTCAGTTGACTTGGCATAGATCTCCACTAAATGTATGAATACCTTATGGTTATGTTCAAACCTGACAGTTACTCTAGCAGTTCCATTCATCTTGGAGAATCACTCTGAAGCAATCTGCTTTGTCCAGTCTGGACTACTATGGCTTGAGTAAAGCTGGTCATCCTGAAATCTCCTTCACCATCATCCTAGGGATAGTTTGCCTCTCCCCTGTGTTGGTTTCCCTGTCTTCTTATTTCCTATATTTTGTGTCTTTCTTAGATATATTCCATTGGGTGGTGCATATCCTCAGGTAGCTTCTTAACAATAATGGAGACATGGAAAATCCACCTCTACAAAGAAGTGTAGGGATCTAGCTTGCTCTTAAACCAGTGACCTATTCCCTTCTGCCCTTTGTTAACTGTATTAATTTCCACTTTGTCCAAGTATTTGGTGTTGCCAAATGGTAAGTTTTATCCTGGCTTTGACCAGTGCTGCTTCATATCTGTATCTACTGTATCCATATCTATTCTTTGCATTGTACCATACCACCCAGTCTATGGCTTTATTGGTCTCTTATTAATAAGAGTTTCTACATAAGAACTTTAATGGATTGCTTTACAAAAAAAAAAACAAAAACTGGGTCTACATATGTGTCTCTTACTGATTCAGAAAATTAATAGACTTAAATAAATTTTCAGTAAAAATTTTCACTATCAGAATTCTCATCAGTAGCTAATGCCTATAAATGAATTAGGCTTGAATAACTCTCACTAGTTGAACTGTTGCCATCTAAATATTGGAGAACCAAATAGATTTATACATATACCTATATGCATATATTTGATCAAAACAACTTCTGAAAACAAAGATGATAAGAGGTATTGGTGCTTTTCATTTTTTATGAGGAAAATGAATGAAAACATAATATTGGTGAATTTCGGATCGACAAAGATCTTTGCATTATCGATTAACATCAAAATGCATACATGTCTTGTCCAATGTATTTATGTTAGAATAGTTGTCTTCCATCCTAAGTGCTTCACATTTATCAGGTTAGTCCTCATAAACTTCTGGGTAGGTTCTGTTATCCAGTTATATTGATTAGAAAAAAAAGTACTGAGATAGTTGTCAGAACCATATTGAAGATCAGACATCTGTGGACGAATGGAGCTTATCTGAACTTAAGACAGCCAAGGTCTGGAGCCTGAACTTAACTACTATATTAAGCTTAGTGAAAATGTTCCTGTAAATATTTAACAACTGGCAATAAGGGATCTGGGGTGGTGGGATCAGGAGGCTTTATTTGTAGCTTTTGCTAGTTCCATTAGATAATGGCATATGTGTTATCAGCATGTGTTGCCATTATGCCATTGCTTCAGATTATTTTTTTTATTTCAGGAATAAAGCAGATGCAACTAAAGACCCCCTGCCTTTGCCCCTCTCTCTCCAGGAATAACCTCTACCATATTGGTAGTTTTATTCTCTTACTGCTTGAGTGTGAATCCAAAATTAATGCATAGTGTTTTTTGCTTATATCCTGTATTTTCCTATTCGAATTGGAAATGGAAAAATGTTACTTTTGAGGCAAGTGTCAGAATTGAGCTTATAATTGAGCCCAAGCTTTTCAAGGGAGTATGTGCAGCTTAGGACCGTTTACAGTAGTTACTCATCACAGGATAATAGTTGGACATCTAGAGGCATTCATTTACCTAAAGTTTTGGAAAGAAACTTCAAAATAAAAGCAGTATAGATAAGTAGAGGGCAAACATACAAATTTGCCCACATTTTACATAAAAATAGGGGCTTCAGAAGATTTTTTTTGCCTATGAGTTCATAGTTTCTTGTTTTTAACGTCATTTGCCCAGTGGAAAAGAATGGAAAAGAACCAACCTTTGGAAGAATAAAAGTGGTATTTACTGATTATTTCATCAGAGCTGCATAGTGCTCCTCAAACAGCCTTTTTTCCTTCCAGAGAATGTCCTAGGTGTAAGGCCGTTCTTCCTGGCTGGAAAGGTTTTAGCAGTAGCCAGGCAGGACTCCATAATTTTGGTATCCTGACTACACCTTGACTGTGTTTTCTATTGATACTTTATGTCCTTTAAATGCCTTTTCTGAGCACTTTTTCAGTACTACATGAGCAAGAAGTCTGCTGAATTATTCTTTTCTTCTCTTAAATCCACTATAAACTTTCACCTTGTTCAATACTCAGGCATGCTAACTAGGCTATCTTTCCCTTGGTAAGAAATGGAAAGGATGTGTGGTACTGGATATTAAACCTAGAGCCTTTAAGCTACATTACCAGCCTTTTAAAAATTGTGTACCAAATTGCTTAATTGCCCAGGATAAGCTCACATTTGGGATCCCCCCTGCTTCAGCCTGCCAGAGTGCTGGGGTTATGGGCATGTGCACCATGCCTGGCTTAAATTTCCATTCTTTTATGCCACAAAGATTGTAGTAATTTGTTGTAACAACTACCACAGAAAAAGATACACATTTTCAGGGATTTTTTTAAATGGAAGAATAGTGTGTATCTACACTCCATCTTTCTAGAAATGGTAGTTTCCAAAAAGGAATTTAATGTAGGTAATTAGGAATAAATGAAACCACTGCAAGGGTGGATAACAGATCAGGTTAGATTACTGCTATTGCTCAGTGAATTATAAAGTTGGTTCTCACATTCATGTAAACTCTATTCCCTATGTAGTGGTACCTCTGTTCACGAACTTAATGCCACAATTCTGGTTGCTTACAATCCAGTTGCAACCAGAATCGTGGAACAAATTCTGCGACCAAAATTGTAGAAAGATTTAGGTTCATGAACTGAGGCACCAGTGTATTACACTACTTCTGTAATGGCTCCATTTATCTGACAAGAGCTTCACAGGTGCATAGCTCTCCTCCAAAAGTAGCTTTAGGAATTACCTGGTAAGTGGATTAGAGTAACAGCTCCTCCACACATGTTCCACTGTTTTCTCTGGAACCAGGAAAATAACTAGTAGAAGATGGACTCTGACCAAGACTCCACCTGTCCTCATAGCCATAGCTTAATTCCCACCTGGCTATAGAAATGATTCTCATCCTACTTGGGATTGATACTCATATTCCTAAAGCTAATAGGCAACTCTCCTAAATTTATTGGCTAATTTGATAACATTTAATAGACAGTTATTCTTCATTAACTTTTCACTGGGCTTCACGGGTACTGTAGGCAATTTCACCTACCCTACTGGCCACTGCTTACCAGGCTCTGTGTTGGTATCTCATCTTCTGAACTCTAGAGCACTCCAGATCACAGTCCGCATACATCATCATGTTTTTATCCATACCTGCTCCCTGATCTTATTCAACCTGAGGCATCCAGTACTATCCATGTGCTGATGCCTCCCAAGTGTTTAGGTCTCTCCAGACCTCTCCAGACATCTGTCTCCAGACCCGTAATTCCAGCTGCCTGCTAGACATGCCCTTGCTGCCTACTGATAGCTCACACATAGTATGTTTGAAGCTGAATCTTTAATATTCATTCTCCCTCCAGCCATCCAAACCTCCATCATCATTGAGATTGTCTCTACCTCCTTCCCTGTCTTGCTCTCTCAGTATATGGGAATCTCTATCCTTCCCATTGTTGGCCTTGAATCCTTGGACTCCCACTCTTCTCTCATACTCCACACACTCCTTTGTTACACATAGTTCACTTTATAATTCTTGAGAAAATCAGGTCCACCTTCTGGCCACACTCAGGCTGACCAGGCCTCACACCTTCACTGTTGCCATCCTAGTCTGAGCCACCACTGTCTCCCCTCACCAGACTCCCTAATTCCACTCTTTCCTTCTCTTAGTTACTTCTCCACTCAGCAGTCATTTCACTCACCATAAAAGCCAGTCTTCTTAATAAATACAATAACCTGCATAGTCTCATCTCACTTCTCTAACCTGATTTCTTACATTCTCCCTATATTCACTCTCTTACAGCTATACTGGCTTCTTTCCTGTTCTTTGAACATGACGTGAATGCTTCTGCTTTCCCTCTATCTAGAATGTTCTCTCAGTTACCACATAGCTCAACTCATTTGCATCAGACCTTCACTCAAGTGTCATCTCCTTAGAGGGGTGCACACTGTAAAATTTCACATTACCCCCTGTCCCCCGCCTTACTACTTCCAACCCTTCTTATCTCCCTTTTCTACTTTAATTTTCTTTCTGGTACTTAGCCACTGTCTAACATGTCATATATTTTACTTTCTTCTTTATTTGCCTGCTCATCCACTCTAGTTCCTGTCAGGCTTTAAGCCCCAACAGTGACAGGCCTAACCTACATCTGTTTAGTGCTACTTCCCCAGGGTCAACACTGCCTAGCTCATATGAATGCTTAACAACTATTTGAATGAGTGACGTTGGGGTATTGCATTAGTTTTCTAGGCTAACATAACAATGTACTACAGACAGAGCAGCTTAAACAACAGAAATGTATTCCCTTGTAGTTGGGAAGAATAGAAGTCTTAAGATCAAGGCAGGATCCATTTCTTGTAAGGCC